ATTTCTCACAGTATAGTAGTGAGGATTAAATATAAGAATAGACGTAGAATAAAGAACTCTTACAACTCAAGAACAAAAAAACAACCCAATGAAAAAATGAACAAAGGACTTGAATAGACATTTCACCAAAGAAGATATACAAATGGCCAATAAGCACATGAAAAGATGCTCAACATCACTAGTCATTAGGGAAGTGTACATTAAAGCATGATGAGATACTATTACGTACACTTCAGGATGCTATTATTGAAGAGAAAAAAAACCCCAAAATATATATTGGCAAGAATGTAGAGAAATTGGAACCCTTGTGCATTGCTGGTGTCAATGTAAAATGAGAGGGCCACTGTGGAAAATAGTTTGATGGTTCCTCAAGAAGTTAAACAGAGAACATATGATCCATCAGTTCTACTTCTAGGTAAATGCCCAAATAATTGAAAACAGGGACTCAGACAGATACCTGTACACCCAGGTTCATAGCTGCATTATTCACAATAGCTAAAAGGTAGAAGCAACCCAAGTGTCCAGTTACAAATGAATAAAATGTGAGATATACATTCATTGGGATATTATTCAGCCTTAAGAAGGAATGAAGTTTGGGCACATGGTACAACAGGGCTGAAGCTTGAAGACATTATATAAGTGAAATAAGCCAGTCACAAAAGAATAGATATTATATGCCCACTTATATGAGGTATTTATGGTATTCAAATTCATAGAGACAGAAAATAGAATGGTGATTACCAGAAATAAGGGAAAAGGGCAACGGGAAATTAGTGTTTAATGGGTACAGAGTTTCAGTTTGGGAAGATGAAAAAGTTCTGGAGGTGGATAGCGGTGATGGTTGCACAACATTGTGAATGTACTTAATGCCACATAATTGTATACTTGAAAAAAGTTAAAATGGTAAACTTTATGTTATGTATATTTTACCACAAAAGAAAAAAATGAGAATAGAGGTAGACAAAAAATTAAGTGGAAGGATCCATAAGGAAAGCTAAGGTAAGAAAACTGACTAAACATTTTCAAACATCACTTTTTCCACAAGTTTCGCCTTTATTTATCCAGGGTTTACAGGGACCCCCTGGAAGTACAGGAGACAGGGGACTTGCAGGAGAACCAGTAAGTTTATCTTTACACTTTTCTAATGTGTTTTCTCATAATGTACATTTACCTTTCCATTATTACTTCTCTGCTGTGCTGTGACTGATATGAATTAGAAAGCAGCATTTATGATAGACACCATAGACTAATTATAGAGAATGAAAATTTTGCCATAATATATCTTAGTGCCTTTCTCGTTTCATGTAGCCAAATATAGTACTGTTCTTCTGGAACTGTTAAAACTGAGCATATTTCTATTTTCAACAAAGAAAACTTTGTTTTATTGAATCTCAGAAATTCTCTTTCTGAATGGCTTGCTGTTCTTGTAATTATTACATTGCCACACACACACAATCACATTTATGAAGCCAATTCTATAATAAAAGACCACATAGAGAAGCCAAACTCTACATCTAATGGGCCAAAAGGTACAAACATGACAGAAATGCTGTTGCATCAACAATACAAAAGCTTACATCACAATTTCATAAATATGATTCAATTATAGAGTTTCCATGGAAAACGAATTGTGAAAAGGAAAGACCCTGTCACACCTACTTTCTTACAATTTATTCTTTATTGCCATTGAAGTCATTCTTCTGATTAATGGTGTCAGATGTAATAGGCTGTAATGTGCTTCTTAGATTTACAATACAATATAGTCTTTCAGACCACTGGGTTGATTTTATCATCAGTTGACACAAAGGTTTATAGGTGGCCTTTGCATAATTCATTTTGATAGTAGCAAGTGGAAAATTCTAACAAAGAGCTATTCTTGCCATAGCTCTTTTCTCATTTATATACTTAACCTATAAGTTCTCTAAATAATAAGTAAAGATTTGAAATATGTATAATTCTTTTCAAATAAACAATGTTGGATTTGGCATTGATTTTATTCTATTAAATCCTTCTTGGTTTTCCCCCTATTTTGTGTTTTAACCTGCCATCCTATTTCTAGTGTTTATTGGACCTAAAATAATACAACTATCTTTAGCATTATTTACTTAAATATCTGGCTCCCCTAAAAGGTCTGTAAGCTCTTTAAAATCAGAGGTCATTTCTTTTATCTTTGCAATCTCCTTTCCTGGGATAGTGTCTGTCACATTAAATCTACTCAATGTGTGTTTGTTAAACTGAATTGAGAAAAGGTGGTTTACCCCAAGGCATAGTCATTCAGCTGGTAGGTAACATTACATGAAGTGAAATGTAATGAAAACTAATTGAGTCTTATTAAAGAAGACTTTTAAGTAAAGGTAAGTGTGTCAGTAGAACTATGTCAACAGCACAGATAGTATCTTAGGATTTACATAAGAAAAGACTTGTTAGTGTAGCCTTAAATGACCAATGGTTTAACAGCACATAAAAATTAACATGCAGGTCACAAGGTCAGTGAGGCTGGTAAATAAAACATAAATCAATTTATAATGGATATAATACGCTTCATTTTGTATATTTGAGCTTCCTGGCCTAATCATAGAAAAGAACAGAAAAAAATTGGTTAAAATAAAGGGTATAGAAGATATGTTGAAACATACCTATAGTATACATACACCTTATAAAAAAAAGAGGACTGTAGCCTTTCTAAGTCAACACCTCTAAAAGTTGTCTCTTTTTCCAGACAAGATTCAAAACGGGTCTGCTCATTGCAATTCAAGCATTTGTATTTGAATAGGTGACCATTCAGTCAGTCATTCAACAAATATTTATTAAAATCTGCACTTGGGATGTAGTGGTAAGCATGGAGTTTTCAATCTGGTGATAGAAATAGACATTAATTAAATAATCACAACATAAATGGGTAATGATAAACTGAGATAAATACTATCAAGTATAGGAATTCAGTTCTGAGAATGTCTATTGCAGAGAAACTGTCTTAATCTGGAGATTAAAGAAAGCTTCCATGAGGAGAAACATTTGAGATGTTATCTGAAGGATGATTAGTAGTTAGTTAGGCAAAGATGAGGAAAGATCTTTCCAGAGAGAAGTCATGAGCTGGGAGGAAGCACTATATATTTATTTGAAGACCTAAAAGAAGGCCCCATGGCTATGGCATAGAGTCAGGTGGAAAGTAAGTACAAGATGAGGACAGAAAGGGAGGCAGGTGACAAAACACACATAGTTTTATGAGTGCTATTCCCAAGGATTTGTATTTTTATCCTTAGAACAAAGGGATGTCATTGAAGGGGTGGGGCTAGTTTTATAATTAGATTATTTTTTTGTAAATATCAGTCAAATCACAAAATGGAAGAAGCCAAGAACGGCTTTGTTGCAATAATTCACATAAGAGATGGTGGAAACTTTTTCATTAGCAGAGAAAAGAAGTGGACAGATTAAAAGATTCAAAAGCAGACAAAATCCAATGGAAATAAAGATCTTGTATGTGACGTATAATTTCTAAATTTCTGGCTTATTGGATTAAAGAGATGATGATATCATTCACTGAAACTGGGAGAACCAATCAGTTTGAGAATGGATGATTATAAATTCAGTTTCACTATGTTGAATTTAAGGTGGTTGAAAAATACGAAGTTGCCATTTGGATTCAAAGAAGAGAAATGCACTGAAGTTCAAAACATTGGAGTTGTTCCCTATGAAGAGAGTACAGAAGTGAGAAAAGACAAGGATTTAAGGCTGAGGCTTAAAGAATTGTAAGATTAACAAAATATTGGTAGAAGAGGTTGAAACTGCAAAGGAGACTGACAGATAAGATGAAAATCAGATATATAAATTAGGAGTTTCAGCTTTAACCATAACTTACCTTAAAATCTTCATGACAATATTAAATTCCTTTAGAAGTATGTAGGCATATAGAGGAAAAGGCAAACTACAGCCCTCAGACCAGTCATCTGCTTTTGTAAATCAAGTTTTATTGAAACACAGCCACAACCATTTACTTACATATGTATGGCTGTTTTCATACTACAATAGCAAAGTTGAGTAGTTTTGACAGAAGGTATATGACTCATAAGCCTAAAATACTATCTGGCCTTTAAAAAAAGTTTACTGCCCCCTGATCTAGATGTTAGTCACATATGCAAAAAAAAAGAAAAGAAAAGAAAATGTTTGATCGATGCAAAACTGATATAAATAGTGTCCCTAGTTTTGTGCAGTATACAGCCTGTACAACTGTACATAGTGGCCCTCAATAAGAGGAAAATGGTGGAGTTTGTTCTTTCTTTCTGTCTTTCTTTTATTCTTTTGTTCTTTCATTTCAGAAAACTTGAGTTGAAAAATATCTCCTGACCCATCTAAATACTGTTGGTATTTCTAAGCATTGAAAACCGACTTTAAAGGGGGAACAAGAGGAATGCTATACTCTTAAAAATTTATTCCTCCTAAGCTTGCTTTATAATATCCCATATAATTTAAAAAGTATTTTTTTCTAGCTACTCTTTCTAAGTACTGGAAGTCACTTCCATTTACCTCAAAAGATAGTTAATAGGATTCTCAACTAAAAGTGTATGATAAAACCTCATATAGTTTCCCATTAAATTACTTATGAAGATTTACAAAATGGCAACAGTCTTGGAAACAAAAGATAAAAAAGGACCCTATATCACCATCTTAGTAGAATTTTGACAATAACAAAGATAAAAATAATAGCCACAAAAAAAGCTAAAGGTGAATTTCACTTGCAAATATGGTCATAAAAGTCTAAACACCAAAAAAGAAGTAAAGTTCAACTATGTGTATAATTAACCACTTCAATGGAGTAAAAGGAAGAATTATGAAAAAGGAAAAATTACTTAATATTAAGGAATTCATTAATATAACATATCACAGATTTAGTGAAAAATCCAAAAAACAAATTTTCAATAAGACTAAAAAACCATTCTTTAAAAATCATAGT